CATTTCCTTAACACGGAGCCTTGAGAACTTTGGGTTTTGTGGTTTAAGTCCATGCAACTGAAGAAAAACTTCAGCTGGACACTACGCTGGTAGATAAACAAGATACAGAGACAAACAAGATATTGTGCCAGCCCAGACTGGAGGTCAGAGAGGACTTCCTGGAGGAGAGGGTGCTTACATGGTGCTTGAACAATTTCTCTTAGAAAGATCAGCACGAGGCTGGTCCCCATGAGGCGGAGGTCAAAGATGTCCCAAATGTCCAAACTACCATGCCACTCCATCATCTCAGACATTAACCCCTCCTCCTCCTCCCAGTAATTTCCCCAGTCTTAGGGTTCTGAATTTCGCTGTAACGCCTCACAGAACTCACAGACACCCAAGGGTTCGTCTCACGTAGTGGTGGTGGAGGCTGGCAGGCTGGCGAGTCCCAGGTCTGTGAGTAGGTCTGGCGGATCCTCCCAACTCTCGGGGTTAGATGAACCTCGATCAGCAGATCAGACGGCGGCTGCTGTCCCAAATCCAGGGGTGAGATGACGATAAGCCAAGGATCAAAGCTGGAGCAAGAGGCAAGCGAATCTTCCCAGGAGATTCGTAGGTAAAACCCTCCGGGAAGCTAAGGGTGGTGATTTTTTTTATACCCTCCAGCAAGGCAGGACTCAAGATACATTCCACTTGTGTTGTCCCAACAGAATTAACCTAAATCCCATCACAGAGTCGATTGCCAGTCATTGTAGGGAATGACTACTACCAGCTGCCCAGCCAAGTTGATACCTGACCTTAACTACCACACCACCCCAAACAGGCATGGATAATGGGATTTACGAAACACCACAGAATGGAGGACAATGGCTAGAAGGGCCACATCAAGCAATTCACTGCACATGGACTCTTGAGGAATGAGTAGGTGGTGGTCTGAGTACAGAGGCATGACATAATAGGGGATGGAGGAGACTACAAGGGATTTATGTAAGATAAAATCATAAGTTTATCTTATCTTCATTTATAAATACAAACATAAGTAAACATAAATGTGTGCTTATTAAAATAATAAATACATACAGTTTATAATAAATATCAATATTTTATATAAAATACACATTACCTATGGGTTCCCACCATCATGGCACTGTAAGGTCAGTTAAACAGGGAGTTTTAACTTGGTTTCACTTTTTTTTTTAATAATATATTATTACTCCATGTGTGTATGTACCATAGTTTAGTTATTCATTCTTCTGTTGATGGGCACTTAGGCGGTTTCCATCTTTTTGCTATTGTAAATAGTGCTGCAATGAACATGGGTGTGCATACATCTGTTCTTGTCCTGGCTCTCACTTCTTTAGGAAATATACCTAGTAATGGGATTACTGGGTCAAACGGTATTTCTAATTCCAGCTTTTTAAGGAATCATTATACTGCTTTCCACAGTGGTTTATCACTGTATAGTCCCACCAGCAGTGTATGAGTTCCAATCTCTCTACATCCTCACCAGTGTTTGTTATTTTCTGTCTTGTTGAACTTTGCTACTAGTGCTGGGGCAAGATCATATTTCATTGTTTTGATTTGCATCTCTCTGATGGCTAACGATCGTGAACATTTCTCCATGTGTTTGTTGGCAGCCCTGTTCACTGCTGTACTAGCACTGTTTACAATACCAAAAAGATGGAAACAGGACCCATCAACAGAAGAATGGATAACCCAACTATGGTACATACACACAATGGAATACTATGTAACCCTAAAGAATAATGTAGAATCTGCAAAACACACAACATGGATGAACTTGGACGACATTATGCTGAGTGAAGTAAGTCAATCACAGAAGGACAAATATTGTATTATTCCATTATTGTAAAAAGTCAAGGAAAGGTTCATATATGGAAGGAAATTTTGTTTGTTTGTTATCAGGGGTGGGAGGGGAGGGGTGGGAACACTGATAGATAGGTGGAGACAAGTATTGATTTGGGTGAAGGGAAGAGCAATGTACCAAATGTGAGTGATCAACATGGTGGCATTGAGGAAGCAGAAGACATAGAGAGGTACATGGGAGGTACAGACAACAAAGATGAACCCTGTTGCACACACAGTACTGTGTTGCCAGTGAAGGCAAACATGGGTATACGGGTGGATAGACGGGTGGACAGTCTCAACAATTAGGCATGTCTATGCAGCAGGGAGCATGCCCATGACATGTGTAGGGTTAGCAGACAATGTTTCTAGAAGTGTATTTGTATGTTCTGTAAGAATTTCCAGGTATATAGTAGAGCTGACAAGGGACAAGGTTGTAGGCACTTCTTGGCCACAGACAGCTACCCAGAAGAAGCAAGTAGATGGACCTGTGGGCTTGGGACCATGGTTGCAGGAGACCAAGCTCAGTTGGCATAATATACTTCACAAAAACATTGTTCCACATCATACTTTGGCAAGTAGCAACCGGGATCTTAAAAGCTTGCAAGCTACCATCTAGATGCAATGATGGGTCTCTCCTCATCCAGAGCATAAAAGAATGAAGAAAACCAAAGACATATGGAAACAATTAGTCCAAGGGACTGGTACACCATGCAATCCTCAGCCTATACGACTATGAGACCAGAAGAACTAGATGGTGCCTGGCTACCGCTGTCAACCAACCACTCAGAGGGGGATCTATGTAGGAGACCCTGGAAAGACTGGAAGAACAATGTGGAACAAAACTCAAATTAAAAAAAACAAAGGGACCAGGTTTGCTGGTCTGATAGAACCTGGTGGAACCACTGAGATTATGGCCCCTAGCTGCCCTTTAGGTCTGGAATTGAAGCCACTCCCGTGGCTTCCAGCCAAACAACACAGGCATAGGAGCTGAACATTTACGTTAAGTAGATACACTCCTTGGAAGATCGATTGTGGGAGAATAGAAGGGTTGTGTATGCACAGGGAGACAGCTCAGGGGGCAGGAGTGCATGGGAGGGAAGGACACAGGGAAGAGGTAACTAGGGGAGTAAGTGGGAGGGGGGTGTTGCATTGTGGGAAATCACAGTCAATGTAATGAAACAAAGTGTATGTGAAATACTATATGGAAAATGTATTTGCTCTGTAAACTTTCACCCAAACACAATAAAATTTTTTTAAAAATAGAGAAACTAAATAATAATAGCAATATTTTATTGTGTTTTTCCTTACCCAGTAGTTTAGGTTTGCCTTCAATTTCTACACAAGTCACTCTGTAGCACTGGTTACCTTACTTCTTCACAACGCATGAGCGTCCCCCTCATTTCTGCCGCGGATGTCCTGTTTCCGTTCATCTAGTTTTCTGTCCCTTACATTCTCATCCCTGTTTAAAGTCATTGTTGTCCATTTGGCTTCAAAGGCGATTTTTAAAGAGAGCACAACACTCACAGGTGAATTCATCATGTACGTATTTATTTAGCCAACAGCTATTTAGCTACCAGGTGATCTCAGGGGTTAGTTTCGGATCCAGGTTTGAAGAGCATCTACGAGCAATAGTGTCCAGTCTCAACCAGTCCAATACATCAGGTTTTGCTTTTTTTTTTTTAGGAATTTGAGGTTCTGTTCCACAGTTCTCTCCCATTCTATCAGGGCCCATCTATTGTAGCCCTGATTAGAACAGCCCACGCCGGTGGTCTTGCTTTAACTCCAGTGCCTGTGGTAATCGCTTAGACAGTCAACCAGCAAATGTTTACTGAACACCTACTACGTGTCGGATCCCATCTTAGGCACTAAGCACGCAGCAGTGAACAGGCACAGAGCACTTGCGCTCGAATGGCTGGCACACCTAAGCGGGTCTATACACATTTTGCAACTAATCAATGAAAGACAAAATGAATGCCTGTATCTAGCCAGGAGCCTTGATGGCGGTAGAACGCTCGGCTCCTAACCGGAAAACCGGCGGTTAGAACCCACCAGCTGCTTGGCAGCGGGGTGGGGGGAAAGGTGAAGCTGTCAGCTTCTGCAAAGATTTACAACCTTAGAAACCCGAAGGGGCAGTTCTACTCTGTCCTATTGGGGCCCTGTGAGTCGGGATCAACTAGGCGGTCAGGGGTTGAGTTGGGTTGCGTTTGCTGTCCAGTCAGCAGTTCTCACTCTGTCTATTCTGTTAAAAGGAATTCAAACCCGTTCGAGTAGCAGCACCCCTAAGAGCCACCGAGACAGATTTAATCATCTTTAGGTGATACCAATATCTGAAAATCGAGATGTTCATGCAAGGTAACCACTGTCTTCGAGTAGATTCCGACTCCTAGCGACCCTAGAGGACAGAGAACTGCCCCACAGGGTTTCCAAGGCTGTCAATCTTTGACGGAAGCAGAAGGCCTCATCTGGCTCCCCCCGAGCGGCTGGTGGGTTCCAAACACTGACCTTTTGGTTAACAGCCCAATGCCTGAACCACAGCACCCTCAGAGCTCCCTATGCCACGTAAAGAGGTCATTTTGGGGGACAGCGGGAGCTCGGCTTCGTCTTCGCCCGCAGCGTCCGGTTAAAGGTGGCATCCGCCAGGTTTAACGCGACCAGCTCGGAATTGCACAAAGCAAATTTCCGGGCTCCGGAGGCGGGCAGACTCAGGAGAGCGGCGCGACCTCCGGGGCCGGGTCGAACCATCTGTGCCGGGGGGGGGGGAGTAGGTCTGCTCTGCGCCGTCAGGCGCCGGGGCCAAGGGAAGTGTGAGGACGGGCGCCCTGGGCTCCTTGCCCACGCTGCGCCCAGGAGGGCTGGCTGTGCCTGGGCCTGGCAGGAGCCGCGGGTGGGGACCTGCGCCGCGCGCGGGAGTCCATCCCCCCCACACAGTGGATTCTTCCGCAACAATCGGGGACCTACGTTACCAGGAGCGCCGCGGCGCGGCGGACACGAGCCAGGCACTTCCGGGCACGGCTCCTGGGTAGGAAGGGTAGATGGCTGGGCCGCGTCCGGTGGGAGCGCGGCTGGAGTCCCTGCTCTGCCTCTCGCCTCACCCTCAGCTCCACGCCTCCCAAGACCGCCCGACTTACAGGGACCGCCTTGCTCTGCTGCTATCCTCATGGCGGACAAGAAACTGGTGGTGGTTTTTGGCGCCACAGGTAAGCGAGACCTCCAACTCCTGGTCCAGGGGTCGAAACGGGGACCCGAGGACAGGGAGCCGCTCGGCCGACGACCGGGCGGGCTTAGTCTTGCGGCCCCGCAGCTTCGAGTGCAGCCTGGGTGAGATGGCAGGAACCCCACACCCGGGATGGGACGATGAGGACGCAGATTCTTTTTTTTTTTTTTTTTAATTAATTTTTTAAAATTGTGCTTTGGGTGAAAGTTTCCCGAGCAGATTCCTTTTCCATTCAACAGCTCATACACATTTTGTTTCAGGACACTGATTGCAATCCCGCTCTTCTTCCAACTTGCTGTGGCTACCTTTTTCCTGTGTCCTTCTTTCCTATGCATTCCTGCCCTCTGAGCCGTCTCTCCGTGCAGATACGGCCCTTCTCACCTCCCATGGTTGGTGGTTCTAAGGAGTGTACCTGCCTGGTGTAAGGTTCACCTTACATGCCTGTTTGGCTAAAAGCCACGGGAATGAGTTGAATCCCAGGTCCAAAGGATGCCTAGGGGCCTTAGTCTGGTATTTCACCAGTCTCTATCAGACCAGCAAGCCTGGTCTTTTTATGATTTTCTGTTTTGTTCCACATTTTCCTCCCACTCTATCCAGATCTCCTGTTTGGACCCCTTTCTGAGTCTTTGGCAGTGGTAGCGAGGCACCATCGAATCCTTTTGGCCTCTGGGTCATGTAGGCTGAGATTTCTTTGGTCCAGATGTTTCCACTCATCTTTGATTTTCTTCTGAGCAGATTCCTTTTTCATGTTTGGAGTTTAATTAACTTCTTTGAATAGGTAGTCCTTGCCCATGATAGACAATTAAATTTCCTTCCCACCTCTGTTCTGCTCCCCTCCCCTCCACCCATTACTGTTAACCTAGTTCTTCCATTCTACCAAATGGATTGTTGTTGCTGTTGTTTGCCATCGAGTCGGCCCCGACTCCTAGCGACCCCTCCTTGGGTTTCCGAGGCAGTTATCACTACGGAAGTAGGATTGCCCAACCTTCCTTCCGAGGAGTGGCTGGTGGGTTTGAACCGCCAGCCTCCTGGTTAGCAGTCAAGTGCCTTGGCACTATGCTACCAGAGCTCCTACCAAATGGATTAGATATATCTAAATAGATTTTTTTTTTAAGGGTGGTGTAGTGCTTTGTTCTTTCCACGCACACACATATGTATTGCTTTCCTGTCTCTCTGGATTAGTTTCGTTAGATTTGCTTATTCTGGACATTTCACATACAAGGAATCATACGCTATGTGGCCTTCTGTGTCTGGCCTGTTTCATGTTTTTAGGGTTTGTTCATGTCGTAGCGTGTATCAGTGGTTCATCCCTCTTTATGGCTGAATAATCTTCCATTTTTCAAAGTAGTTTTTAAAAAATGTAAGATGTATGCTTGAGAGCTCTGGTGGCGTAGTGCCTAAGGCATATGACTGCTAACCAGAAGGTTCAAATCCACCAGCCACTCCTCGGAAGGAAGGTTGGGCAATCTGCTTTCATAGTGATACCACCTCAGAATCCCAAGGAGGGGTTGCTATGAGGGTGGATTCAACTCCATGGCAGTGAGTTTGGTTTTTTCGTTTTTAAGATGTATGCAGTGCCTAAGGCACTTGACTGCTAACCAGAAGGCTGGCGGTTCAAACCCACCAGCCATTCCTCGGAAGGAAGATGGGGCAATCTACTTCTGTAGTGATACTGCCTCGGAAACCCAAGGAGGGGTCTCCATGAGTTGGGTCCGACTCGACGGCACATAACAACAACAACAACATGTTTATACATACATGTTTCACATGGATGAAACCTGAAAACATTATGGTAAGTCAAAGACCAAACTCAACTGTCATCAAGTTGATTCCAACTCATGGCAGCTCCATAGAGTTCCCAAGGCTGTAAAATTTTATGGAAACAGAGCTTCATCTTCCTCCCACTGAGCGGCTAGTGGGTTCAAACCACTGACCTTTTGGTTAGCAGCTGAATGCCTTAACCATCGCACCGCCAGAGCTCCTTAAATGAAAGATGCCAATCACAAAGAGTCACATATGATTCTGTTTATCTGAACTGTCTGGAATAAGGGTGGTGCAGGACCAGGCGGTTTTTTCGCTCTGTTGTGCATAGATCACTATGAGTCTGAGTTTACCTGAAGGCACCTAACAACAGAGATAGGAAATTGATTAGTGGTTGCTAGGGTCTGGGGCAGGGCTGGGGGGAAATGGAGAGAGACTGCTCATGGGGACTGAATTTCTTTTTTGGTGTCATGCAGATGTTCTAAATTGATTGTGGTGATGGCTGCCCCACTGCTATTCATAAGGTTTTCACTGGCCAATGTATTCAGAAGTAGACTGCCAAGTTCTTTGTGGTCTGTCTTAGTCCGGAAGCACCATTGAAACCTGCCCACCACGGGTGACCCTGCTGGTATTTGAATTACCGTTGGCACAGCTTCCAGCATCACGCAAGCCACCACAGCATGGCAAACTGACAGACTGAGTGGGGGTGGGAATATACTAAAGTCTACCCAATTGTATCCTTTCAATGAGTTACCTGCCTGCCAGGTGAACTATATGTGAATAAAGCTGTTATATTTTTAAAGGTGTGAGTGGGGTTTAATGTGAAGAATTCATGGGGTTTCTCGCTGTGATAGAACATCCCCTTCGGGAGCTTTCCCCTGGGGGGTTTCTCAGGAACCTTGACCCTGGAGGCCTTTCTGACTCTGCAGGTGCCCAGGGGGGCTCAGTAGCGCGGACACTCCTGGAAGATGGGACGTTCAGGGTACGAGTGGTGACCCGGGACCCTGGGCAGCAGGCAGCGAAGGCACTGAGGCTGCAAGGTGCAGAAGTGGTGCAGGGAGACCAGGATGATGAGGCCAGCATGGAGCGCGCCTTGACCGGGGCTTTCGCCACCTTCATCGTGACCAATTACTGGGAGAACCTCAGCCAGGAGCAGGAGGTCAAGCAGGTGAGGGCAGGTGGGAGGCTGCTGGGAGGGTGGGACTAGAAGCAGGGCATCTTACGAGGGCGTCTGGGTCTTCAGCTGGTCCCGGGGAGGCAGCTCAGCTTGCCACAACAGTGGACCACTGTGTGCCTTCTGTCCCTTCCATGAAGTCGTCCCAGACTGATGAGGGTGGGGTGCTGCTCCTTTCTTATCAGTGGCTTAAAATAATACCATTCACAAGATAGAGAAAAAAAACCACTGGATTGAGACTCATGAGCCTCAAATTTAAGACCTCCCCAAATTCTTCCAGAATTCCTGGTGCGGCTTTGGACGTGTAGCTCTGGTCCTTGTTTTCCTCCTCTGTCCCTAAAGGGACGTTGGACTAGGCCATGGTTTCTTTTTAGCTTTGAACCTTTCTTCAAGAGCAGTGGAAGCCCACGACAGAGGGGGACAGAGACAACTTCTGGTTGTCACAGATCTCATTTCTCGTCCTGACGACCTGTGTTCGTTTCCTAGGGCTGCTGGAACACAGTGCCACACCCTTGGTGGCTTAAAACAACAGAACTGTGTTCTCTCACAGATTTGGAAGCTTGAAGTGTGGAATCAAGGTGTCCACAGGCCTGTGCTCCCTCCAGTGGCTCTGGGGCAGAATCCTTCCCTGCCTCTTCCAACCTCTGCCCCCATCTTTTCATGGTCTCCTCCATGTCTTCTGTCTCTTAGAAGGATACTTGTCAGGGATTTAGGGTCCACCTGAGAATCCAAGATGGTTTCATCTTGAGATCCTTAACTCATTTACATCTGCAAATATCAGATGTGTCACATTCCAGATGCCACACTCACAGGTTCTAGAGGTTAGGACATGGACATAGCTTTTTAGGAGGCCGCCATTAGATGGTAGGTGGTATTGTTCCCATTTACTGATGAGGTCAGAGTGGTTTAAGTAACTTGACCTGGATCACACAGTCAGTACACTGCAGAGCTTGGCTTAGAACCCGAGCAGCTGGTGTGTTTAATCATTGAGTGGTAGCACCTCCACAGTTAAGCTTCTGGGACTTTCCAAGGAAGGAGTCTTGGCACTGTGGCCAGGATGGTCTCTCAGGCCAGGCAGAGAGGGGAAGCTTCTGTGCTAGTTGATCTACCCACCCTCACATACTGCACACGGCTGGGCTACGATTGAGCACACAAAGTACTCAAAACCAAACCAACCCACTGCCATAGAGGCAATTCCAACTCATAGTGACCCTGTGGTAGTTCAGTTTATATGTCAACTTGGCTGGGCCTGGTTCAGTGGCTGGGCAGCTGGATGTAGTTTTTCCCCATGATGAGATTGGCAATCATCTCCATGGTGGAATCTACTGGGAACAGCTGAGTAGCTGCCTTAGGGAATGTGGTCTGTTTCCTGTATATAAGCAGAAGCCTTGGGAGATGGTCTCTAGCCTGTGGCACACTTGGACCCTGCATGTAGTCGTGTTGTTGCTCAGCAGCCTGCTATGCTCTGCTGACCTTGGGACTTACAATGGACTTAAGTTAATGGCCTGCCATGTGGTTTGGTAACATTGGGACTGGGCCTTTTTACTTGTCAGCCTTGGGGCTGCTCAGCCTCAGCAGCCAGCAGCTGTCTGAGTGACGAAATGCCTCTAGCTCCAGTGGGCCAGGAGCAGGAAACAGAGCTGGACCCCAAGGTTGAGGGGCTTTCACTCTAGAACCTGGCACTTTGAACTTGGACTTAAAGCCTCCAAATTATAAGAATAAACTTGTTTGTTAAGGCCATCCCATTTGTGGTATATTCTTGTCAGAACAGCACTAGATAACCAGAACAGACCTACATTGGGTTTCCAAGGCTGTAAGTCTTTATAGGAAGTAGGTTGCCCTATCTTCTCTCGGCAGGGCAGCTGGTGGGTTTGAATGGCTGATCTTCTCATTGACAGCCCCAAAGCCTTACCCACTATGCCACCAGATCTCTAAGGGACACCAAACCCACAGCTGTTGAAAGGAAACAAGGACCTTCTGCCAAAGCTCACAGAGAAAGCCTTCCCCTAGAGCTGGCATCCTGAATTTGGACTTGTAGCCTCCTAACCCATGAGAGAATAAATCTGTTAAAGGCCTCCACTTGTGGTATTTCTGTTACAGCAACACTAGAGACCTGAGATGGGGATCCGTGTCCTTCCTCTCAGCCTCGTGGTTTCTCCTTTTCCACCCACCAGGGAAAGCTGCTGGCTGATGTGGCCAGGCGCCTGGGCCTTGGCTACGTGGTCCTAGACCTGAGATGGGGATCCGTGTCCTTCCTCTGAGCCTCGTGGTTTCTCCTTTCCTACCCACCAGGGAAAGCTGCTGGCTGATCTGGCCAAGCGCCTGGGCCTTGGCTACGTGGTCTACAGCGGCCTGGAGAACATCAAGAAGCTGACGGGTGGGAAACTGGCTGCTGGCCATTTCGACGGCAAAGGCGAGGTAGAGGAGTACTTCCGGGACATTGGCGTTCCCATGACCAGCGTGCGGCTGCCCTGCTACTTCGAGAACCTCTTATCCTACTTCCTGCCCCAGAAAGCCCCTGATGGAAAGAGCTACTTGCTGAGTGAGTGCCCCTCCTGGTGCATCTGTGCCCATGCTCTGGTGGGATGCACTTCCTCTCTTGTGACGCTGCAGGGTGGCATAAAATGTGCTTGTTGTCGAGGGTCTGTGTTCGAGCCCTGGCCCTCATGTTCGGTCTGTGACTCTGAGCAAGTGATTTAACCTCGCTGGGCCTCTGCTTCCTTTTCTATGAAATGGGCGTAGCAAGGACGTTCACAGAGGGGCGATGAGAAAGTCGGCCAATGGAGGCTCCACCACGCACTGTCAGCTGCAAACCTTTACAGAAATCAGCACCATTATTGTTCCATGAAGGTGCCTTGGTGGTGCAGTGGTTAAGCCTCGGCTGTTAACCAGAAGGTCATCGGTTTAAACCCTCCAGCCACTCTGCAGGAAGACGAGGCAGCCCACTTCCATAAAGATGACTGCTCTGGAAACCCTACAGCGCAGTTCCACTCTGTCCTCAAGGGGCGCTGTGAGTTGGAATCCACTCCACTGGGGTGGTTTTGGTTTGGGCTTGCTTTCACAAAGATTGACAGCCTCTGGAGCGCTTCCACTCTGTCCTCGAGGGGCGCTGTGAGTCGGAATCGACTTGACGGCAGTGGGTTGTGACTTCCTCTAAAAGATGTGGAAGACCTGGCCAGTTGTAGATGTCATAGAGTAGAGCAGGTCTTTCTTAGTACACACTTGCAGATCAGGAAACAGGGCCCAAATGCACAGACTTCAGCTTGAATGGGACCCTAGAAGGCTCATCTTCTGCTGCTTGGCTCAGTGGATTAGAGCGAGATACCCCAAAGGCCCGAGGTGGAGGGGTCAGGGTGCTTATCTAACCACACGGCCACTGCATACACACCGCTCCCCCTCACACAAGGGCAAGTCAGGAGTTGCCACTGAGCCAGGGGAGAGTCCTGCTGCCTGGTGAGCAGAGCCTCGTCCTACTGACAGCACGTGGGCACTGCCCTTGATAGATGGCAAAGCTGCATTTGAGGCTATAAGCCCAGTCCTGCCTGTGAGTTGGAGCTCCATTCTCAAAGCTCCCTGGTTGATCTCAGCAGGCAGCCACCAAAAAACCAAACCAAACTCACTGCCGTCGCATCAGATCAAACTCATAGCGACCCCTCCTTGGGTTTCTGAGGCAGTATCACTGTGGAAGTAGATTGCCCAACCTTCCTTCCGAGGAGTAGCTGATGGGTTTGAACCGCCAGCCTCCTGGTTAGCAGTCAAATGCCTTAGGTACTATGCCACCAGAGCTCCCACAGGCAGCCATGGAGACCCTTTTTATTGATGAAACAATGGAAGGCCAGAGGTGCCCTGGCAGGGTCTCGTCTGGCCTTTTTTTTTCAAACTAACAAACATGGGGGTCTAGAGGCAGCTGGGTCCCAGGGACCAAGGGCAGCCCTGGAGGCAGGCAGAGCTTGTTTGTCGTAGCTCCGCCGCCTGCTGTTCTGTGAACATCAGATCACTTCCATTCTCAGAGCCTGTTACCTCACTTCTCCTGTGGGTGCAAGGACTGTACCCACTGCACAGGACTTTTTCTTTCATTGTGATTTGGGTGAAAGTTTACAAACCAAATTCATTCTCCATTCAACGGTTCATTCACAGTTTGTTTCCTGACGTTGACTGTAATCCCCACAGTGTAACGGCTCTTTTCCTGCTTCCTCCCTGTGGTTACCTTTTCCCTGTGTGCTGCTTTTCTATGTATTCCTGCCCTCTGAGCTGTCTCCCTGTGTAAACACCGCCCTTCTCATCACCCGTGGTTGATCTCAGGAACGTACCTACCTGGTATAATTGTTCTTGTAGGCATGTCTGTTGTTTGGCTGGAATTTAAGTCGTCTGGCCTCTTGGACAACACTGTTGTGCTTCTACGTCATCTGCAGAGCCGCCACGTAGAATGCAGTTGTTCCTTAATTCAGCAGACACTTCCTGAGCATCTGCTGTGCCCTGCGTGGGGGTGGTGGTGTTAGGTGCCATTGGTGACCCTGTGTACTACAGAACAGAACACTGCCTGGCCGTGCAACATTCTCACAATCCTGGCTATACTTGAGCCTATCACTGGAGCCACTATGTGGCTTTTGCTTTTTCTTCCCCTTTTTTGCTGACCCTCCACTTTACCACGCGTGATATCCTTCTCCAGGGAATGGTCTCTTCTGACAACATGACCAAAGTAGGTGAGAGGAAGTCTGGCCATTCTCGCTTCCAAGGAGCATTCTGGCTGCACTTCTTCCAGGTCGGATTTGGTCACTCTTCTGGCAGTCCGTGGTATCTTCATTATTTTTCTCCAACACTGTAATTCAAAGACATCAACTCTTCTTTGGTCTTCCTTATTCATTATCCAGATTTCACATGCATATGAGGCAATTGAAAATACCATGGCTTGGGTTAGGGGCACCTTAGTCATCAAAGTGACATCTTTGCTGCTCAGCACTTTAAAGAGGTCTTTTGCAGCAGATTTGCTCAGTGCAGTATGACATCTGCTTTCTTGACTGCTGCTTCCATGGGTGTTGATTGTGGATCCAAGTAATATGAAATCTTTAACAACTTCAATCTTTTCTCCATTTATCGTGATGCTGCTTATTGGTCCATTTGTGAGGATTTTCATTTTCTCTATGTTGAGATATAATCCATACTGCACACTGTAGTCTTCAATCTTCATCTGTAAGTGCTTCAAGTCGTCTTCATTTTCAGTAAACAAGGTTGTGACATTCCTCCAATCCTGATGCCGGGTTCTTCATTTTTCTGCATGCTGCCTGGCTAACCACACATTCCTGCTAGTGCAGTTAGCACTTGGGACACATGTCCCCAGGTTTCCAGCCTTCAGGAACTCAGTCCATGACAGGATACACCAGGGTGATGTCCTGTGATCCAGACCTATTCTTGGCGGCACTTTCGGAGGTGTTTCCTGTCTCTTCTCCTTTGTTCCTGTGCTCAGCCCTGAGAGGGTGGCAGCCAAGGGCTCTTGTGCCCATTCTGAGAGCAGAAACTCCGCCTCAGCTTGTTTAAACGACATGCCTCAGGCGGCAGAGCTGGCAGGCGGCAGAGCACAGACCGCATGCCACTGTCCTGACCCTTCCTCCCACCATTTCTCCTACGTGCCACCATTAGGTGTTGTCAGCCATGCCCGAGTCTACCATGGACAGATGTGCAGCTGATGGTGGGAAATCTTGCTTCAGCTACATAAAGGGCACTGGACGAGCCAGCGTCTGTCACACGGGGCACGTGCCAACACATCTCCTTTTCCCTCACAGGCCTGCCCATGGGTGACATCCCCATGGATGGGATGGCTGTGGCGGACCTGGGTCCGGTGGTGCTCAGCTTGCTGAAGGCGCCAGAACAGCATGTTGGCCAAGACATTGGGCTGAGTACCTGCAGGCACACCGCGGGGGAGTATGCTGCCCTCCTCTCCAAGCACACCGGCAAGACTGTGCGTGATGCCAAGGTGGGCCCCTTCTTCCCTAGCCAGGTGCTGAGGTCCCGGCTCCTGCCAGGGGAGTCAGCAGCCTCAGTTAGCGGCTTCTAACTCCTACAGGGGTTTTTTGGGGTATTGGGAGCAGTATCTCCAGGACTGCCCCATCCCTCTTTGAAGGTCAATCTCTATTCTCATATTGGCCAACATTTATGCCTTGCTGTTCTAGAGAGCTAAGCAGGGCCAGAGAGTGGAATTTCTGGCAGAAGCATTTTGATGGAGTGTGGAAAGGTTTCCAGGAAGAGGGAACAGGAGGAGCCGAGGGAAAGAGGCTGAATACACAGGAGATAGTGGGCTCCTTGTGGGATGTGACTGGAGGGGAGGGAAGGGTCCTGATCCCCGACCCTGGCCAGAGTTGGCGGGAAGCCCACTGGGCCCTCCTCTCTCCTGCTGACCCTCATTCTTCCTATGCAGACCCCACCCTGTGTCTGGGCTCCCCCAGACTTTGTTTCTAACTTTGTCGTTCCCATCCTGACAGGAAGACACATTAATAGACTCCTCCTCCAGCCCCACCCAGATCCAGGTAGAGCAGTGATGGGGCAGAGGGAGTGGTTAGAACAGATCAGACTCCCAGACTCTGATCCTGGGACCAGCCCTTAACACCCACCTGTGTGTGACCTTGGGCCCATTCCCTGACTCCTCTGTGCCTCAGTTCTCTTCCCTCTGTAAAATGGATGTGTTCATGGTACCCACCTCCTAGAGCTGTGGTGATTGAATGAAACAGTGTAAAAGCTTTCTTAGCACAGTGCATAGCACAGCAAATGGGGGTGGTTACTATTTAATGGAGCCTAGTGGGACAGTGGTTATGTGCTTGGCTGCTAACCAAGAGATCAACAGTTCCAACCACAAGCCACTCTGTGGGAGAACAATGAGGCAGTCTGCTTCTGTACAGACTGACAGCCTTGGAAACCCTGTGGGACAGTTCCACTGTGTCCCCTAAAGTCACCACTATAAGTTGGAATTGATTGGACAGCAGTGGGTTTGGTCTTTGTAGTATTTTTAATTTCTTTTTTTTAAAAAAAAAAGGAAATGCCAGAGATTGGCTGTGGAAGGTTGGAGTATGAGGCTGAGGGATTGAGATTCAGTTCAGTAGGGACGGGGAGCAGCTTTGGTTTCAGAGTAAGAAAGCAATGGGAGATTTCTGATTCAGGACTGGCACATTTTCTGTGTCCCAATCTTGAGAGATGGGTATAAACTGACCCGAAGCATGCCAATGGGTCGGCCGGAACAGTGGGCTCCAAATTTCCACCTTTTTAGAATCGTTTTCTAAAAATGAATGAGCTGCTGTGGAGGACGCCAGTAGGCAACCGACATGCAAACAGTGGGGTTTGGGAGCAGGTTGGGAGGGGGGGCTCTGAGCCACCCAGCCTCCCACCGCCTCACCGGGGTGCTGCCTGCTGACTTAGTAACAGGCTGCCCTCTGCTTCCAGACGACTCCAGAGGAATATGAGAAGCTGGGCTTCCCTGGGGCCCGGGACCTGGCCAACATGTTCCGTTTCTATGCCCTGAAACCCGATCGCAACATCGAATTGACCCTGAGACTCAACCCCAAGGCCAGGAGCCTGGACCAGTGGTTGGAGCAGCACAAGGAGGACTTTGCTGGGCTGTGACCGCCTGCCTCTCGAACCCGAGTCTGGGGAGGAGGGAGGTACAGGGTCACAATTATCCTGTTTTGTGTTTTTTTAAAAAAAGTTTAAAAAATATAGGCCATTGTTCTTGCAGGTGGGTTCCCAAAGAAAGGGGCCTTGTTTCTGGGATGTTGGCTAGGGTAGCAGCTGCTGGACTACCAACAGCATTCAAACTCAAATGTGGGGAACCAGGCAGTCTGGTCACCTCCCTTCCCTGCAATAAAAGGGCGTTGGGGCAGGTGGCCTGGGAGTCTGGGCATCCTGAGTATGCTGGTATAAATTAGTCACACGTGACGAAGCTTCTGACAGTGGCCTTGAGAGTCCATTTCCATGACATCTGAAATGTACCCATAGCGGGTGCTGGCTGTGCCCAGAAAGCAGTGGGGGCCAGGCCAGCCTTGTGGCAACTCCTCCAACAATCTAGCATACATATGTCTAGAGACCTGGTGAGCCCAGCATACATCCAGCCTTTGTGTTGGGGGCAAACTTTGGGGGGTGTCTCCCTCTCCTCACCTTCCTGTAGGGTGGGGCCCAGGTGTGGCACAGGATGTAGGTAACCTTCAAGATGGGTTGTTAGACTCAAAGGTCTGAGGCAGAGCTGGGACCCCACCTCACTGTGACAGGACCCTGCTGAGGAAAGGGGTGCTGCCTGCGGCCAGGGCTGGGGAGTTGACCTAACAGCAGCCCCTCTGGTTTGCAGTGTGGCACAGATGGTCAGATGTGCAAGGGGTTCAGCTTGTAACTCCTGGTCGCTTTGGAGATGAGGACTGGAGGCCCAGGGGCTCTCGCCAGTGGCCCGAGACTCCAAGAGGGTTCTATCTTGGGGTGTGCAGCTGCATGAACTCCCACACAGCTTAGTGACCATCCCCGTGGCAGTCTTCTTACCCCCACCAGGCCTACTCACAAGTGGGGTGAACACTCATGGGCCTCACATCTCCATGTACCCCCAAGTAAAGGGGAAGCAGCCCCACAAAATTCATTCCATTTACTGATGGATTGAGGGACTGTTAACACAGTATTTCTTCCGACACTTACCATGTGCTGGGCCCTAAATAAACATGAACCAAGAAGTTAAAGGCCCTGGCCTTGTGTGGTTGAGGAAAGAGCCAGAGAAATAACTGACACAACAGGGCTATAGAGAAAGGAACTGGGTGAGGAACCACCATGTGGGAGGCACTGATTCACCTCGGGGACAGGAAGAGCCTCTGAGGAAGCAACACCCTACACTGAGGCCTGAGGGACAGAGGGAAAAGCTCTGGCCAGGAAGAGACAGGGCCGCTAGGTCCTGTGATGCCAAACTCCCCCAGCCTGGGGGTGGGACACGCCCCACCTCTGCTGTAAGTCACTGGGACAGGGCCCTGGAGGTGCCACACGAGCGTGCTGCCACCAGGACCCGAGTCCGTGAGCCTTCTGTCCTTAGGCTCAAGTGCCGCTCCCGAGTGGTCTCATCTGCACCATGAGCACCCTCTCCCTGGTGCCTCAACAAAAGCTCAGCACCCCGCTTTCCTACCTTCAACCCCTAGAGGCTCATGGGACTAGAGGTAACTTCTGTAGTTTTCAGTATCTCGTTATACCCCACCTCCTATTCGCAGGTGGCCGAGACAACTGGTGCCGACTGCCCCCTGGCTGTGGAAGCAGCCCACCCAAGCCTCAAAGGGGCCCTTAAGAGTCACAGAAGCTGTGCTCTGCCTTCCAGCCACGTGCAGGAAGGGCGCTCCTGGGCACCAGTGCAATACCCACCTCTCTCCTCAAGTCTTTCTCTAGACACTTGCTTCCCGAAGGCAGGACGTGGACGAGGCGAGGCTGACATCTCTGGGAACAAAACGCAAGCTCTCCTGTGTGAGGGACACTGTCCAGCTCCCAGGGCGCTCAGCAGTGCCTGTGCTCAATGCAGCTCTGTCGAGTGACTGACATGTCCCGAGGGAGCAGGGTGACTGCTGAGCCTCTCGTCCATCGACTCCTCCCCATCTTCCCCATACAGCCCAACGCCTCCAAATCTGCTGGGCCCAGGCGCCTGGCAGGGTCTGAGCTGTGTGGCAGGGCCCACCCTAAGAGGCCCAGGCACTAGGGCTTCTGTGAGAAACAGTCTCTGCTGGAGGCCAGACTATTAAACTGAAAGAAGCCAATGCTTCAGTGTAACAAAATGCAAAGACTGCAAGTTACAGAGAGTCTAGTGAGGGAGGAGGCTGCACCTGTTGCCTCGCACAACACAGGCTCCAGAGAACACACTGCAAGTGGGCCTCACACTTCTCTGTCAGTAAGAGCAAGTGTGGTGGGGCATGGGCTCAGCCAGGTGTGGGCTTGGCAGGGCAGGGAGCCGAGTGATAAGTCAGGAGAGAAGAGATGCCCCAGTGGCCCAATCTCAGGTGAACATCCACCATCCCCCTGCGAAGCCACCTGTAGAAACTGCCTGAACCCGAGCAAGGAAGAAGTAACCACAGTTTAGGTTTTAGATATCTTTTTGTAGTAGATAATCTTATTTACATTGATACAGATTCATTTTACATTCTTAAATCAGACACTAGTAGATGCTTTATTTAAGTAAATTACAGAGGAAGAAGGAAACTAGTGAGAAAAGTTCTTCATTAACCTGTCTGACCAGAGCTCAAGGCGGCGAGACATGTGGAAGCCTCAACGGGGGCCAGTGTGCTCCACTTGTTTCGTGGTGGGCGCCTCGGGCGGCCTAGACCGTACTTCAATGTTTCTGAACGAACATGTTGAAAGGAAAAGACAGTGATTCTTTGCATTGAATAATTTAGACACTCCTGAAAGTAAGTGTCAACAGTGTAAGTGGTGAGAACAAGACCCTGGCTGGCAGAGGTGGCTCAGTTTAATGAGGCCACTGAACTTGCCCCCAGAACAGCACTGCAGGCGGCAGGCTGTGGCTGAGCAGAGGGGCAGGGCCTCCATGCACTCCTGTCCTAAAGCAACAGCAGCTGACTGTCGGGACAAGAGGACATTCTGGGGGGTGGGAGGAAGGATGAATGTGACAGAGACCACCGCCCACGTGAGAGTGAAGCTAGATCTGCAAACCCTCTACACCTTCCCGGCACCTCCTCCAGCCCCTGGAGCCCCTGCTTTCAAGTTGCTTGGTACCTTCAGGAATTGAAAACAAACCCCAAGAGGAGCACATGAAAGCCGTCAGAATGTGTGGGTGGGGCTGTGAGCTGAGGGTGTGCGGCAGGTCCCGGGGGGTGATCTGGGGGTGATCTGCCAGGGGTGACTCACTGAGGAGACACCCAGAGATTTACTGAGAGAAAAGTCAGTCAACTCACGCCTGCTGCAGCCAGGGGTCATCCTGAAGCTGTGAGCACAGCCTTAATCCTTTAGCTGCATCAGCCCGAGAGCCGAGGCGCCATCCACCACCAGCGTCCACCTGCCTTGCGCCATCTTGAGCCACCGCAACTCAGCCCCAAGCCGTGGACAGGAAATGTCTATCACCCTCACAGGTTCTATATCTTACTGCCCAGGGGCCATCCATGGAGCCCCTTTCAGGGAAAGGTGTTGCCGTGGTCTTGCTGTTGCTGAGGTGGTCCGGCCTCTACGGACAGGGGCTTGAGCTGAGTGCCAAGCCGCTGGCTGTCGGGACCGTGAGGAGCGGCTGCTGCTTCCCGACTAGTTCCCGGTGGACCGCTTTCCTGGGTAGAGAAGACAAACAGTTACGTGTCACCTGGCGTCACGACAGGAGCACAGCCCTGTGGGTGAGTCTTGGCTGATCCCTGTGAGCAGCTGTGCATGAGAGGCTCAAGAGCCCCGACCACCAGTACAGGCAGGAAGTGAAGATGAGCCGAGAAACCGCAGGGAGCAGGCACTGCCCTATGCAGTGGCCCCGAGGCTGACGTGGCTCGAGGGCCGATGGGAGACAGTGGGCCTCAGAGCCAGGGCACGGGGCTGTAGAGCTGTCTGCCAAGATGCAGTTGCTCTAGTGCCTGGAAAGTGCAGCTCCCCTGCCACAATCCTCCAAATGGAAAGGTGCCGACAGGCGAGAGGCCTGGTCCCGAGGCAGCGGCCTCATCACTCCTTAGCACTGCGTCAAGCTCCTAGAGGGCTGGCACTGTGAGAAGAGGGATCCGTTCACGGGGAAACAGGAAAAAACAAAACAAACAAAACCTCAAGTGTTCTCCTACCTCGGCTGAGCTATCAGGAGGTAAACATTTTCTTAAGTTTGGAAAGGAATCCCTCCTTGTCCTCCCCAGCCTCGCGCCTACTCTCTCCTCCTGCACTGCTATCCATGGCTCTGCCACCTGAGCACAAAGAGCAGAGAGAACCGGGGTCAGGGGCACGGGTGGCACAGCCAGGCCTGGCTGAGCCTCACCAAGGCCCAGCACCCAGGGAGCCACCAGGCACCACCTCAACACTCTCAGATGGCTGAGCAAATGCTCAGGGCATTTATTTAACCCACCTGCTTGTCCCCGTGGATCTCCACAGAGAAACAAGCACTAGACTGGCCGCAAGCGGCTGCCTCCAGTCTGAACAAGAATCACGACACAGCCAAGGGCCAGAGAAGTCTTACTGCCGCCCACCCAGCTTACACATGCTAGCTCAGTGAATCCTTAGGACAACCTTATTGGTGAGATTTACAGAGGTTAAGTGGTTTAGCGGAGGTCACAGAGCCAGTAAGGGGAGATGGAACACACATAAGGAGCCCTGATGGCAACGGGTAAGCACTGGGTCGCTAACTGAAAGGCTGGCAGTTCAAGTCCACTGGCAGTTCTGGGGCGACAAGACCAGGCAATCCGCTGCCGTAAGGATTACAGCCTAGGACACCCTATGGGGCATCTCTGCCCTGTCACTTGGGGTTGCCATGAGTTGGAATCTACTAACAGCAACTCTAAGAGCAGAAGGCTGGCAGTTCAAACCCACCAGCCACTCCTCTGAAGGAAGGTTGGGTAATCTACTTCCATGGTGATAGCGCCTTGGAAACCCAAGGAAGGGTCGCTATGGGTCAGGTCCAACTTGACGGCACATAACAATAACAACAACAACAAGACTATAGTTTATCTAGGACCTGTTTTTCTACTAAACTGAATCAAACGCATCCAAGAATTCCCCATATGTTTGTGTTAAAAGCTTTAAGTCACCCTCAAAACCCAATGAGTTTATGTAATTTCTTCTGTTTCATTCTGTTCTGGGAGCTTGCTGTGTCTGAACTTCTGTTTCTGTATCAAGTTGAAGGCTATGGCTGATGATTTTTAGAGAGCAGTCTAAAAAACTGCTTCTGGCTCCTGGCTTGTATCAGGGCTTTTAATAGTTACTACAAGAAACTTTGATACAAATCAGTCTACCTGAAATATACACTGGAATTTTTTTTTTTTTTAACATTAACAAAGCCTTAAAAAGGGGCATATTATTCTAAATTGTTTCTCTAAAAGATCCAACCAAGCACACAAAAGACATGGTTACAAAAACATAATAATCTCCAACCTCTACTCTGATTAGTTTAATAATAAATAAGCACTTAAATAAATTGAATAGTCCTAGTATTCCAAATAATTCTGATAAAATTTTTGTTTTGTAACAAGTCCATTTAAAAGCAGTTTATCTTTTTAAATAATTAAAGCTAAATGAAATATATGAAATATGTTCTGGTAATTTAGATGGACATGGAAAGTTGTGGAAGGTTTGAGGAAAATTAAACAGAATGAGGTTACATTTTTTAAGAGGGAAAACGAGAGTACTTTTGTCTTAAGAGAATGTCTGCTTATGCCAGAGTATAAAAAGTAATAAATAAAAGTTAACCTTGAGGGCATACAGTAAGTTGTACAGGGTTAGAGGAAAGCTGAATAGAAGGTAAACTTGTACCACGGAGAAAAGGGAGTCTAATTTTAATAGTGGGTGTTTCTACTTTGTGTCACTTAAAGGATTATGCTCAGAGAAAAATGCAACAAAGACTAGTCATTTAAAAAGTCTGTTAAAGGTCTGGAATTGAACCCACACCTGGGGCTTCCAGCCAAACAAAATACAGGCAGGAGTTGAACATTTACCTCAAGTAGATACACTCCTTGGAGAGAACAATCATGGGAGAAAGAAGGGCTGCTTATGCACAGGGAGACAGCTCAGGGGGCAGGAGTGCATGGAGGGATGGACACAGGGAAGAGGTAACTATGGGGAGGAAGTGGGAGGGGAGCTGTTGCATTGTGGTAAACTGTGGTCAATGACATGAGACAAAGTATATGGGAACTGCTGCATGGAAAGTGAATTTGCTCTGTAAATCTTCACCCAAATCACATACACACACACACACACACACAAAAAGTCTGTTAAAGACTTATGTTTTGTATGATTGAGATTCTTGTTTATTAAATCTCAAAATTTAGTGGGCTAATTCATGAGAATTTTTAAAAGCTTTAATGTCCAACAGCACCTAAAACAAAGAATTGGGTTTCTTGTTATAATAACAAAATTTTCCTTAATTATGAAATTGAAATGTTAACTTTATTCTTTGGCAATCTGCCTTGAAGACAAAGTTCAATAAAATCTGTAGATGGAAGATTAATAATAAAGTAGAGGATGTGAATGTTATGAACCAACTAGACCTCACAGACATACGCAGAGCACTCTACCCAGCAACAGCCAAACCACACAAGCCACGGAGCTTCCGAACAAGCTGAAGCTTTTACCTTTAAGGTCTTCAATTAAATAAACCAAACATTGTTCATATATAAATTCCTGATAATTTTAAAACTCTGTAGGAAAGCACAAAATACTTCTTTGTTTTACAAAGAAAAAAATGCTAAAAAGATTTAATATGTTATGAATTACATGAAGATGCATATTGTCAGATCAAAAAAAGTGCCAATTTTTTTAACCTAACAAAGCCAAAACATCTCTCAGGACAAGCCGGCCTTCTAGAGACTTAAAATTATTTAAATGCTCCAGCAGCCGGAAACCGACAAGCACAGAGGTAGACAACTAATCCCAAGATACTGGAACAGAACTCTATGCATGTTACTGAATTTCTTGGACTCTGTCTCCTGTTTGTAACTATTCTTATATTGCTTTTCTTGATATTTTTATAAATTATTTAACATTTGTAATCAAACCATTATTGCCCAATTATGCAGAAAATCATATATCTTACAGAAATCAAGTTTGTGAAGAAACTTAGTGTCACATCTTGTGTTAGTCTTTTGTAAATGTGAAGTTGTTCCTCCAAATATGGCCTTGCTTCGGATGGAGTCTGGCAAGACCCCCAATACTACGGTCCTGGGATACATTCTGGGCCAGAATAAAGCTCACTCCCAGGGGCTGGCTCTCAGCCCAATAGTAAACAAGATGTACACGCAGACCACTCAACCCAGGGTGACGCAACCACATACTCTATGGAAATGCATCCCTTGGAGCAATCGACCACAGGGCACCAGAGGGGCAACATTCACACGGAGGAAATGCAGGACACACAGGAGGGCATAACTATGAGGGGCACAGGGGGCGGGTTACTGAGCAGGGAGGGGAGGATACTGGGTTATGGTTAGACACGGTAAAAGCCTGCCACTGAGGTGGACCCGACTCGTAACGACCCCTCCTTGGGTTTCCGAGGCAGTATCACTACGGAAGTAGATTGCCCATTCTTTCTTCCAAGGATTGGCTGGTGGGTTCAAACCACCAGCCTTCTGGTTAGCAGTCAAATGTCCTAGGCACTATGCCACCAGAGCTCCCATGGACACGGTAAATGGGAGTGAAACTAAACATACACATAATGTTGAATGTAAAACAAACTCTTAAAATAAAAACTTAAATATGTATCTATATATGGCTTTACCCTCCGTGTGCCCCAACCAGAAGATTACAGAAGTGGAGTGTCTGAGCTATGGCGTGGAGAAGCAGGGTGTCTGTTTATGATGCAATAAATACAGAAGGAAAGCACCCATCAAGTCCACGCAGAAGAAAACACCCTTATAACTGTGACCAAAAGGGGGGATGTGTGAAAGTACTTTAATAGCGAGGAGCCTGGCATAGCTAAACGACTGATGCAGGTCTGACTCAAACTCCCTTCTTGTCCTATATCCCTGCTTCTGCTTTCAGAATATGTGCACCATCACCCCCCGTGAATGAACAACTGTGTAGTCACACTTACTTAAAACTATGATAGAAATGTTCTGTTCTCAGAAAGAATGCCTGTAGATAAAGTTATAGTTTACAGTAAAGCAAATAATAAAAATGTTCCAGAAAGAGAATGATGAAAATGTTCCCCAAAAAGAAATTTATGTAAAATTGTTCTCAGGAAACTGTTTACACAGCTTGCCCCCAGAAAATCTATGATTAACTGACATTGTGAAAAGTTTACTGGTGACTCATGTTAACCCACAACCCTCCTACATAAAGCTCTCTCTCCTCTTGGATTTCCGAGCACTTGGTATTTTACCAAGTGCAACCCAGCTTCAGCTGTAACAAATCCTCAATAAAACGCTATCACTGCGCTCTGCAGAGAGTGCTCGTTATTTTTAACACTTTGACACTCCTGACGAAGGAAGTAGCTCTACTGAGCCTGCCTGGAATAACTCTGTAGCGCTAATGCATTATTTTAATATCTGCTAACCACTAAGCGAGGAGGGGAGGTGTACTGGTGACACAGCGGTTAAGGCATTCAGCTGCTCACCAAAAGGTTGGCGGTTTGAACCCACCAGACACTCTGTGGGAGATAGATGAGTCAGCCTATTAAAGATTTACAGTCTTGGGAACCGTGTGGGGAAGTTCTACTCTGTCCTACAGGGTGGCTGTGTGTCAGAATCAACCCAATGACACATAACAGCAAAAAGTGAGACACAGATGCCAAGAACAGGGCACGCCATAGAAAAAAATGGCCACGGCCCCAAGATCTCAGTCTAAGTAAGATGCTTTTGTCAAGAGAGAGGCCCCAACTTAGGGGCAATAGGCCCCCCTAGAGGGGTCGGGGAGGGGCTGTCCTGGGGCAGCAGGGCTGCGTGTGCCCCCAGTGCAGGGGCCACGCTAACGCCCCTAGACCTGGCCTGCTCACACAGCTCAGTGTGTCCATAGAGAAATCATGGAGACGGCCAGTGAGGAAGTGCTAAAATGAGCTCTGAGCATCATGCCGCTGGGGTGGCTCCGCATGTGGGACTCTGCAGATGAGAGCCAGGCCACACCTGCAGAGAAGTGGCACGCTCTCCCGCAGCCTGGGAAGCACCTCCTACCCAAGGCCAGAGGCCGCTCCTTTACGGCCCTGTTTCTTACCTACAGGCCCCAACAAGCAAAACAAAGGGACTTCCTAACACAAAGGACTCCA